ATTTATTTTATTTTTTCCTGAAGGGAAATGAACAGGAGTAGATGTTTATCCCTTCTTTCCTGTTTAGGATTGGCTTTCATGTTCCTTTTAAAGTTTTCTCATTCTCTTTCACTCCAAGTGGCCCCCTGCATCTTAGCTGCATTATCACCTTGCTTGGGGTGAATTGATTAAAAAGAAAATTACATGAAGCTGTTTTTTCAAAGACCTTGCCTATGAATATAGTCTAGTCAAAAAAATTATTCTAATTGTGTCCTGCAGTTTATAAGTTGTAAGGTTTTCCCCAAAATGTTCGACTGTTGATAAAATTATAATTTTTTTCTTTTTTTCCTTTTTCTTTTTCATATGATTTCTTGTGATTAGCAGATGAAGATATTATTAAGGTTGAGATAGGACAGACTTTAAGATATTTGAACCTATTGCTTTAAATTTGCCCTATTCTAGGTTTATCTACTCTTGTAAAAACACATTGCAGCAAAAACCAAATGTCATATTGTGGGTTTTACAGAGAAGAGTTAATGTTTTAATTTTCATCTGAATTCTTATAATCAGTAATGTTTGTTTATGCTTTCTATATTTTGAAAATTTTTCCCTATTTGTATAAAGTATCAGTCTCTCTGCATTATAGTGAATGCTAGTCAATCTCCTTGCAGGTGAAGAAATTTGAGGCAACAGAAATGTGGTTCCACAGAAGGATACTGAGAATACCATAGATGGATCATATGAGGATGATTTAATGAAAATGGAAGCTAAAAGGACACTATTGTGTAGGATCAGAAAAAGACAGCTGAAATTTTCTAAGAGTGATTGAGGCGAGAGAGAGAGAGGGAAACAACAAGTAACATACTTAACAAGTTAGTTTAAATGGATGGTAGAACATGGGCTGAGAGAGGCTGAGAGGAATAAATACTGTTTAATCCTACAAGGAATAGGAAGGCGTGGAGAGCTAAGATTGATCACCTTCTGAAGAGACAAGGTATATAGATGAACAACATGTGAAGAAGGCAGTGGGAAACCATTCTATCTTTCTCAAGAAGTCATGGCAAATTAAAGGTAATTAAGAAAAAGAATCTGTGGAGAGCCATAATCAATGTCATGTCCTATCAGAATGTAGTCTTAAAACAAAAGAGATGATAATCATGAATTATTTTTCTGCTAAATTTAAAATCATAGCAGCTTGTGAACATTGAAGTCTAATAAAAAATATTTCAATTGAGCTCTGTCATTCCAAAGAATTGCACTGAGATCAGATGTAAGGTTTATACAAAAGTGTAAAAGATGACCCAAATATGGGTTAAATAACTGTAATAACCTAAGGAAGGTTACTGAATAGAATAATCAAACATAGGTTGGTAATGAACAGTAATAGTTAGGACAAGAACAACACATATAAGATTTGCCAGTGGAGCATAGAAGTAGTAGTCAACTGCTAGAAGTGAGTCAAGTGAATTCCACAATGAATCTCCAACTGCAGACCAACATACAGTATTCACTACTGTATTTATGGGAATGGGAGTATACCCATTATCATCTGGAGGTATGCCGCAACAATAACAGAGCAGATTGGGCTCTCTCGCTTTGCTGGCAACCTGTTTAGAAGAAAAACTGAATTCAATACTAAACCAAAGAAGGATGGGATTCATCAGACTATCTTGCCCTAGACACACCACTGCTGCTATGGGTACAATACATAGAGCATAAAACCAGAAGAATTATTTTTAAGAGGAAGAAGTGCTATCACTCAGAATAACCTTGGTTCAAATACTCTCAGAATTTTTGTTTATTTAAAATCCAAAGAATAATATTACTACCAAGTTTTCACTTTGAAAATGATTCACCAATCAAAATGATAGACATAATACAGGGTGAGGCAAAAGTTACACACCAAAGAGATAATTTATTAAAAGTATAATTACACGTGAAAATTTTATTTACTATTTAATTGTTATATATTTTATTCAAGATGTCCTCCTCCTTTTTCAAAAGACATTTCAATTCTATGCCTGCATGATTCATTAACATGTTAGTGTTTCCTTTCACATTTTACTGCATTCATATTTAATTCTTTAAGTTCCTCAACATTTCTTGGACTCATCTGATAAACAACTGATTTCAATTGACCCCACAGGAAAAAAAAATCCAAGAGTGTGTGAGGTCTGGTGACTTCGGTGGTCACTCAACAGGACCAATCAAAACAAAGGAGACATTAAAAACCTGATTAAATAATTGACCCCTATGGTGCATGACTTTTGCCTCATACCATATAAAAATGATGGCAGTAATAAGTGGTTAGAAAGATAACTGCATGCTAATAATAAAAGCAAACAGAAAATATAAGAATATTAATAGGAATAATAAGATTATATTTATTTATTGATTGATTTGTTTTTTACGGCTTATCAACATTTTGCAGGTTATTTAAAGCCAGAAAATATTTTTAGATTGTAAGATTTCTTTTGTTATGTGATTTATTTGTGTCAAATTTTTATAACTATCTAAAAATAAATCAATTTGAGTATAATTGAAACTATTTGTAAAATCCAGCAAAAGTTACCCATGAAATAAAAATAATTGTTTGTACAAGAAGTAGGCACCAGCTTACATCAAACTGCATTTAATTTAAATAGCAGTTGCAGAATTATCATTGAACTTTGAAAAGGTAAGCTTAAATATTAAGGCAATACTTAAATGCAGCTGTCAATTTTCAAACGGCAGTCAGGTGAGCTTCCAATGCTGAGAATATTCAAAGACTTAGGGACTCTCACACTCCTGAACAAGCCGAAGACCCAACCAAGAGCCCTTTGCAGCAGCTAGCTTAAATATTGCCCAATGGGGTGGCTTTTAAGCAAGTGAGGAATATTTCATGAGTTTTTCAATTTCAAGCATTCAAATTTTAAAAGATAAAAGAAATTTTAAAAACAACTCTCTAAACAAAATAGATTTTTTTCTTTTTTGTAAAAAATTAAAAAATTCTTCAGCTTTTGGGCTTTTATTTCATGTGTTAGTATTATCAATATATATATATATATATATATATATATATATATATATATTTTAAAAATAAAAAAGTCCTTATTTTCTAGGAGGGGAAAATGTAAACTATTTAAATATCACGTGAGTTTGCAATCTATACTTCTTCCTATAAACGGTGACTTACTCAGTGATTCTAGGAGTTTGTACTTGACAAATAGTTAAGTGAGGCTTGGATTCACTTCAAGTCTCTCTTCAGTTACCAAGACTTACAACACCAATAAACAATTTTATTTTCTTAAATCAATGGAAAAAAAAATAAACAAACTTCAAATAGCAGGATATGAACTGAAGTTTCTTAAATTATAAAATTAGTCCAATTTAAAGAAAGCCGTTTTATACTTAATAGTTCCATTTTATCTTCTTTAATACACGGTCCCTTTAAAATCTATTCTTCTTTATAGACTTTTTCTTCATTTATTTATCAATGTCTCTTTTCTTCTATTCCCAGACTCATTGTTAACTTCTCCTTTTTTCCTTCTTACTTTTTTTTTTACTTTCTGTCTTTTCTATAAATTTCATAGTAATTATTCTTACATGCTTTCCATTTTAATATCCCAACCTCCTGAATTGTAGTACTAGATTGGCAACTACATTTGAATTGGTTAGATGTAACCATAAGTTCTATTCTAATAGCATTTTTTCTCTTGCTCATTTCACTTGTGGAACTCTCTTCTGGCTTTGTATTTTCCTGTCAACTACAATCTTCAAAAATTTAAATTCAATATCAATCGCAAACTTGCATCATTCTGAATACTTTTCTTTTATTGTCCTTTCTCCTCCCTAACATTTATTTCACTATCAATGACCCTTTTTATCTTTGTTGTATTATCACCTTCCTTTGGGGTGAAATAATTTTTTTTTTTAAAGTGATATTTTTTTTTTCTTTGTTATATATGACATATATACTTTTACTTGTGCAGGTGATAGATTGCCTTATCTGGGTAGGATATATTCCAACACCCCTAAATGAATGCCTGAAGTCAATATAGCTAAGAACAAACATGAAAAATTGGAACAAAATACTATAATCAAACTTACAGGATATACAGAAGATTCATACATACCATGCATATTAGCAATGTCAATATACAATAAATTTCTTACCCTATTAAGTATAAGAAAATTGAGCTTTTCATTTAAAGGAAGTACTTTACAGTTTCTCTGTGGTAAATCAAAACTAACACTACTCTAGTGCTTTGGGAGGGGGGGAGTTATTTTAAAATAAAACATAGAAATTGTTTAATTCTAGAGATTACCATGAATAACTGAAATTCTGGAATGGGAAACAAAAGAAACATGGAGAGAACCATTCAGTCCTGTTTTGTTGTATTTCACTATGCTCCAAATTATATCTTTTTTTTTTCTTTTTTTTTTTACTAATATTCACTCAATACAAGGCTGAAGAGCCACTCGAGGTAGAGGACTACTAAATGATGGTGTATCAGCATATGAGGAGGAGTGCAGTTTTTGAGGTTATGTAGAAGAGAAAATGGTTAACCCTAGCTTGTGGGGGTTAAAATTGTAGAGATTCGGAAAAGCATTCAATCAGAAGTCTGTTCCAATAAATAGCAGTTATTGGGAAAAGGCTGTCTGAGTGGAACTTCCTTTCTTATGAGTTGAATACAAAAGAAATGACAATTCATGCCTGTATATCTTAGCTGTGAAGGTCTGCTCGATTCTTACCTTCGCGTCACTTCACTCCATCTCTTAGCTCCCTTGCTTTTAAAGCTCCTTGGTCTGGCCCCTGTGGTAATCTTCTCCGTCTTCTCCCAAAACTTTTATGATAATTTCTCCAATCTCTGCCACACCCCCTTTGCTTCTAAATAATCTCTCTCTTTTTTTAACACTGCCTCTCTCCGTCTCTCTCTTACACTAAGTGCCTAGCGCCTCTCTCCGCAGTCCTTTACACAACCCCTGCCTCGCCTCTTGCCGCCTCTCTTTAACACCTGCCTCGCCTCTCTCCGCCTCACATGTCATTTAAATGCCTGATGGCCTCTCCCTCTCTCCCACCCCCTGCCTCGCCTCTCTCGGAGGACACACCTGAAAAGCCTTTTTCCTCTCTCATGAACCCTTTGCACTACCATCTCCGCCTCCTCTCTTATCCCCCCACCTCTCTAAAAGCATTTCTATTACACCCCCCCATCTTTCCTCGCTTGGCAACTTTAGCTAACCCCTCCAGAACATCTCTAGTCCTTTTCATCAATTGCCCCATAAAATAATTCTCCATCTCTGATCTTTATCAATAAGCCTAAATAAAAATAAGATATTTATTGCTGAAATTCTTGCTTGAAAGATTAAACAAATACCCCCACCCATTTACTATCTCTCAAAAAAATCTCTTGCATTAAAATGCCTGAGTTTGTCAATCTAGTTGGTTGCTTTTTCCTTCTCTCCATCCTAGATCAAATTCTTGCCCCTTCATTTCCTTCTCTGGGCCCACTCTCTCTTAAAAATCGAAACACATTGTATTTAACAACTCTGGGTAGATACATTTAAAAAAAAAGAAAGAAACTTCTCTTTAAAATCCTTATTTTGCCCCCCTATAAAGTTGGTTTCTTCATTTCTAAAAATAAAAGATTGCCTTTCTAGGATTTTAATTTTTAAAATAAAATGGAATTTTAAAATAATCCCTAAGCCTTTTTTGTCAGCCTGGCTTCTCTTTTTACTTTTTGATAGAATGAAGCCTTATTAATAATACTTTCTGGCTTGCCCCCCCAAGAAAAGAAGAAGAAGAAGAAAATGCCCCCCCATTGTATTCTTCTCTCAAAAAGGAATTTCTTGCCTCCCAGCCTCGCTTCTTCCGGAAAGTTTGAACCCCCAGATCACCGAAAAAAAACAGCCAGAAGGAAGGTCTCTCCCTTCTCTCTTGCCCCCAGCGTACAAATCTCTCAAATATTATTGCCCCCAGCCTTGTATCCTAAATTATCCATTCAATCAACAAATTATCCTCTATTTTTACCCCAAGCCTGCTCTTCTCTCCGCCACTCTCTCTTGCCCCCCAGCCTCGCTTCTCTCCTTCACTATCTTGCCCCCACTGTTGTATGATTATCCACCACTTTCTCTTTTTTTTTTTTCTCTTTCATTATTATATCGCTTCTTGCCCCAATCTCTCTTTTTCCCCCAGCCTGCTTTCTCTGCCAGCCTCTCTTGCCCCCCCAGCCTCTCTTCTCTTCCCCAGCCTCAGCCCCAATTTCTTCTCCGCCTCTCTTGCCCCCCACCCACTTTGCTTATCTCTGTCTCTTACCCCTGCCTTTTATTACATATTTCATCTTTTCTTTTTGCCTTTTATTACATATTTCATCTTTTCTTTTTGCCTTTTACTTTCTATCACTATTTCTTCCTCTTTTCATTTCCTGTCTCATCTTCCTATAACTTATTTCTTCCACTTTCGATCACTTCCATTTTCATTGTCTACTTATTTGGACACCTTTTTTCTGTCATTTTCTTTAAAAGCTTCATCTTTTCTCTTCATATTTTTATTTTTTATTTTTCTCACTAGAATTTCTCATTTCCCTTTTATTCCAATTACATCCTCCATTTTTTTTTTTTTTTTTTTCTTCTTTCTAATGTCTTTCTACCATATTCAGAAACTTCATTTACTCAGTTTATTTTCCTTTCACAGTTTTTTTTTTACCTTTCTTCATCCACTTAACCATCGCTTTATTTTCTTTGAGCTTTTTCTTTTCATCTTCTTCATTCCTTTGTTTTTCTTTTCTACACAACATCCTTTTTCTCCTATTCTCTCTTTCAAAATATCTTTCTTCTTGATACCTAAGATCAATACAAAGTCAAAATTGATGGACATGATGTTAAAAATACTTGTAAGCCTGTTTTCAAAATGAGTAATCAAAATCCTAGTTTATTTACTTCCTATGTTTGTGAATAGATAAAAAAAATAAACACTAATCTTTGAACATTAATAGAATAAAGATTTAAAGATGACATTAGAATTTAGCAGAGTTATGTAGTTATCAACTACATTGGTATTTTATTTCTAATGTTTGAGTACCTATTAGATTTATAAGGTAGAAATATTGTTAAAATTACCTTACTACTCACTGCAGGCTAAAGAAAGACTTCTAATTTTCTCAGAACTCTTTATGCTGAATAATTCATCTTATAAGTTCACCAAGTTTCAAACCATACAACAATACAAATAATTATCATAAACTATGCTGTTAACATTCTCCAGCCCATTGTATTCAAAGAAAATTGATTTCTTTTATAGTGACTGAGTGCAAGAGAGAAAAACAGAATATTTGTTTTGTAAAGATGACATAAAAATAATTTGGGTTAGATAAGCATTTCCTGCTTTTGTGCAGTACTTACACAAATCTTTTGACAAATACACACCTTGACATACAATTGCCTACAATGTTTTAAGTTAACTTCAACCATTTGCTCAAAAGAATTGAATAAAATATAATAGTAACAAATCGGACAAATAAAACAAATGTTTAATGTCATTAAATCTAAGCAGTGATGACAGAATTAATCCTGAGTATTAAAATATCTCAAAAAAAGAAAAAAAAAAGTGTTCTTTTAGTTATAATCAACTTTTGTCTGTTTTTGGATTGAATTTCACAACAAATTTGATTATAAGCACTTGTTCCCTTCATATTTCCTTTAAGTGAAACATTTTCATTCAAACTATTATCTTTCTTGAAGGTTTTTGTCATAAAATCCAGACTATTGTTGCCAACAGTCCTTTACTGGAAATGACAGTCCTTTCTTCAGCTCTTTCTATCCTTGAAATTTGCTGAATTTGGAAGATGAAGACATTGTATATCTACAAGAAGTAAATTAAAAATTACAATTTATATCTTTCTTCATTTATTATAACTTGACAGTGTTGGTAACTCTACTTCAGGCATATTAATAATTTAATTCCCTTTGCAGCATGTCTCTGGCATTTTTACCCAGAGAAGGAAAAAAGCACATTTTTATTGTAAACATTTTATGAACATGTTTAAATTACATTATATAATCATATTAATAAATTTGGATGTTTAAAAACAGATGACGTAAAATAAAACTGCATTGTGAAATTTATGAAACAAAAGATACTTGCTGAATTGCTAATCATTATGAGGATGTACTAAAAATGTTCAAAGACATTCCAGTAAATTCTGATGCTTTATTTGATCAGATTTTGAGAAGGGGGATCATGCTGAGAACTTTTCAGCTCCCCTTGTTTTTGCCTCCAATATTTTACAATTTTTGTATCATAAAACTAGTTTTTTTGTTTTTTTGTTTTTTTAATTTTCATTATTTACAAATTTTAAAGTATGGCTGAGTGGCTAGAGCATTTGCTTTCTGATCTTGAGACCCAGTTTCAAATCTCACTTTGGTTGATTTGTCAAAATGACTTCTTGATGTTGCAGTACCATTGGAAAGAACCTGAAAACTCTACCATGGATTGACCCTTGTGAGTGAAACTTTGTAGATGGTACTGTACAGAGGCTCTCAATGGTTATTCTAGCACAAAATCACAAGTCAGCATGACCAAGGGTTTGAGCGTATAGGCCTCATTCAATACCAGTGATCATACCTCGTTATGCACTCATACCAAAAAACTATAAGTTCCACACAACATAGTTTCATTATAAAACACAGGTGGTCTTTATGGACATTGAAGAAACAAAATTGTACCTTAGCAGGCATCTGCAAATGGAATTGGCTAGCAGACAGATATGCTTGGGAATTTTTAGCTGGTCGATACAAAATTTTAATGTGAATTTTTGAACTTGTTTCTCTATTCATTTTATTTTTTATTATTTACACCTGTTGGAAATAAAGAAGAATAGTGAACTGTTATGCGATGTCTGTCCTTCTGTATGGCAGTGAATGCTGGACAACCTCCTCAAAACTATAGGCCAAACATGTGAGCAACAACAAGGTTTTGGAGAGAATTGAAAACAAAGAGAAAGAGACAGTTGAAATTTCTGGGACACGTAATGAGAAAGAAAGGCTTGGAAAATCTGATACTCACAGGATGGATAGAAGGAAAGAGGGACAAGGGAAAGCAACACGTGACATACTTAATGGACTTGAGCAAATGGATGGCAGAACAGGGTTTGGGAGAAATAACAAAAAACAAACTTATTAAGAGCTACAAGAGACAGGAGGATGTGGAGAATCATGATCGCTTATGTCCTGAAGGGACACGGCACATAAAAGAAGTATTAGATATAAGAATTCTAACTTTTCTGAATTCCTTAGATGATGCATTGTTATTAATTTTTGAACAATGTTTTTCTTTTCATCTTATTTTGTCACTTGGTTTTAAATTCTATTAATCAAGTATCATGAAATAAAATGTAAGGAAACATTTTTAACAAGATTTAAATTTGTCATTTATCTTTGGGTGCCTTATTGGGTAACAACTTAGCAATCAGTCTAAAATGGAGGCCAGATGCCCATGCACCAAATGAAAATTGGACTTTTATCACTCATCAATAACCAGGAGAATTTTTATTTTTTGAAAACAAGTTGATAGCTTTGTGTATGGAATGTAAAGTTGACAGTGAAAACATGAAACTTGTTTCAAAGAAATTTTCCGATAACTTTACACGATGGTGTGTCCACAGAATGAATTGGAAAGATTCGTATATTTTCTATAAGAAAGATTTCTGTTATCATTTGAATTTGTCAGATACTGTGATGGGAAATTGTCAGCCATTATAAACACCGCAGATCACTTCCAAAACATTACATAACCCTGCACAATAATTAAACAGTAGATAACATATTCTACTGGTAGACTAATTCAGTAGGCTGGGTACCAATGTGAATTAACTGTTTATATTGACATTGAACAGTACAATCATGTGGCAAACAGACAAAAAATGTTCTGATACCACCTTGTATGAAATAAAAATATTAAAAATAAAATGCTTTATCTAAGAATTTTTACTATGTACACATTTTTATACTTTTTTAAAGTTTTAAATAAAGTATCTTGTAATATGGACCAGTGAGAGAAAAAAAACTGAGTATAATTGAGTATTACATGGATTAAAAAAACAAAATAGAATGCAAAGATGGCGGTTAATTTTTTTTAATTCTTTCATTTTCTTTCTTGGTTATTTTTTGTCTTTTTATTTTCAAGGAAGTTTCCCCACCTGTGAACAGTCTGTTGGCAAACAAACAGGTGGCTGCATTGTATGGTCATGAAAGAATAGTTCCTACCTTCCAAAGGACACTCCTCTGTGGGGGTAAGACATAAGAATGCAAGAGGAGCAGGCACAGATCATATCAACAAATTGGGCAAAAGGTACCTGACCTCAGAGGTGGCAGGGTGGATAAGGCACAGCTGGTGTAAATAGTTATGACTCACCTGTCTGGGAAGAGTCTCAATAACTTTGCCAAAAATTCTCAGTCATTGTTCTATTTGAGCAACAGAAAGATTTTCTCCATAAATCAATAGTTGTAAATAGACAAAATCTAATAATTCATTTACAATACAATGAGTTTAATACTTCAGTTTAATCTTGAACCATTCCTTTATTTTTTCATGTGTAAAGCTATAGTTTTCACATGAGAAATTAAAACAAATCACTTCTATTATGTTTGGTGCATGACCGTCAAACTTGTATATTATAACTCTATGGTTTCTTATTGCTATAAAAGTTATTTTTAGTGTTGCACGTGTTTGAGTAGACTTTTTTTTTTTAAACTGAGAAATTAATATCAACCAACCAAGAAATTGAAACCTACTGAAGAAAATGTACCACCTGACAGAAATGAAACCTGTAATCAAATTTTTCAATTAGGGAAAACGCTTTTAAGCTAAATGTTCCTTACTGTTAGGTCACAAGAAGTCAACATAAAGCATATCACAATTATCCTATTTAAGAAATACACATCTCTCATCGGGATCTTTTTGAAGTCTGTATATGATAATTTCATTTTTATACCTGAAACATTAACTAAAACTTTTTAAGCAAATTTTTAAACCAACATTATTTCTGAACAGTTTTTTTTCAAACGACTATAACAAAATATAAGAATATAATGAAAAATGGCAAATAAGATAAGACATTCTCATGAGAATCACTTTCTCTTGCATAAATGTTTTTCTTATATTTACTCATATCACAAAACAGCTCGGTTATGTGCCTTTAAAAAGATTTCTGACTAGTGTCATTTTTTTAATATTATATCCTCATTACTTCATTACACAACACATTGAGTCAACAAGGCAGCTTGGTTCATTCATATAATATCTGAGAAATGATGGGAGATAGTACCATACTGTTGTAGAGTAGTTTCTGTAAGTCGGTCCTAAAATAGGTTCGACGACAAAACGTTAGAACTTGATATATCACGAATGACGCAGAGAAAATCTAGTTTCCGACATCGACTGGAGGCTTGCGACTATTACTACTTATTATAGGTGGGAGAGTCTATTAACTATAGAATAGGTGTGTTCCCTATAACAAACTAAAATTGTGTCATAAACCAAATTCAGAATGTAACCTTTAGTTTTTTAAAACG